CCAGTATCAAAACTGATAATGTTTCGACCAAGTTTAGAAATGATTGGCCCAACTTCTATAATCAACATGGCATCATGTTTTTTATTATTTAAATTATTTATTTTCCTTCAAGAATGTTTAAGTTATACCTGTATGATACCTGTAGGATGATTCTGGGCTCTCATGGAAGGTCTTAGCCCCTCTTCTTTTGACAAACTTTCGCCACTACTTCATATTGGTCTCATCACTTTTATATTTATTTATATTCACTTATACCAGGGATCACGCTAGCCCTGATTTTAAAGGAGAAGTGACTTCTCCCTCCATAGAAAACAAGGAGAAGTTTTTGGGAATAGGGAGAAGTTGGTACAATTTATGGAGGTGTTGATGTTCCATTTATAAATATTTATTTCAAGTTTATTATATATAAGTTCGGGATGGCCAAATGGAAATAGAAACAAATGCATGTATATAACAGTTTATTGTAAACAATAAATATTTGTAACAATTTTAGTTTAAATAAATATTAGTATAATGACAAACATTGTGAAATGAACTGTGGTCTTAATTCTAAACATACTTAGTCAATTTATACTAAATAAACTTTTTACAAACTCATTTTAACCCTTGTACATCAAAAATACTGAAAAAGAGTGCTTTAACACATCAGTCAAACATGTCATCATGGAGATGTATATATCTTACAGTATCTTGAATCTACAAACATACAAAGTCATTGGACATCAAAAGTACTGAAAAAGTGTGCTTTAGTCAATATTATTTCAGTCAAACAGGTAAATAAACATATCTCATAATCAAAACACTCTACAAACTGACATCAAAAATACTTAAACAAAATGTGCTGTAGTATTAGTCATCTTAGAAGTCTCTTCCTAAAAGTATTTAAATATATGCACTGACATTTTAAGTGGAAAGCAAATTTGATGTCACACAAATATTCATTGACAGAACTGGTAGCACTTTCAAATTTCAGTCAATCAACCTGTAACATATCAGAGACTGTGAAGTTTTCTTTTACACTTAGTCTTCCACTTTAATAGGGCTGGGAAAAAGTCAAACTGTTTAATGTCAGGGCCATCTTCTGAAATTCTCATGAGGGAAACAAGACTGTTGATATTCAGTCTGCATCTAAGTTTTGTCTTTATACGGTTCTGTGTAGAAAACCCTCGTTCACACTGGGCACTTGTCATGGGTATGACTACACACCATTTTAACAACTGACACATATTTGGGATCTCCTTCTCATACTTTTTGTTCATTATGTCACATATTTCAATTACAGATTCCTTCTCATAGCTTCCCATCACAAGGCTTTTATATTGTTTGTATTCTGACACACAACTGTCAACATCTATCTTAAGTTGTTTTGAAAAGTGACTAGCTAGAGTATATATTTCCTTGAGACCATAACTACCACGTTGGAGGTTGCTAGGAACAATTGCATTCATGCACGCAAGTAATTCTGATTGTTCAAATCTATCTTTAAGATTGCTGACTATTGCATTTACATATTTCTCCATGATTTTAGACTGACTTTGTTGTTGTTGCTGGTAGTATTTTAGTTTCACTTCCTGAGAAAAGTCAATATCAGCTGACTGTTCCTGATCCTCACTGTCATCATCACTGAACCCTTCAAATTCCATGTTTGAGTTCTTATTTTCCAGAACAGTTTTACTTGTTGATTCACTCAAAGGTCTAGTATATACCACAGAATCACTGTCATTCTGAACCTTAATAAACTGAGTAAGTTTGTCCACAAAAACACCCTCACAAATCAGTAAATCCTCTAGTGATTCACAGACACTATTTACCATAGGGGCCACTTTACTGAAGTCATGTTCTGCATTCTGAAATGTTTTACTCAGTCTGCCTAGAAAGGGGAGACTGTCCATAAGCCAGTGTGCCAAAGAAATGAATTTGAATTGTGAAATATCATTAAGTAAAGATTTAGCAACAATGTCTCCACATGCTGCCATATGAGAAAGTGTCACATAAAGAGATGGGTATGTCCTGTACAAAACACCAACAGCATTTTCCATTGACAACCAACGGACAGAATGAATATCGGCATACTTGAGTGTTGGTTGGTTCAGAAGTTGTGATATTTCTCTGAGCTTGTTCTCTCTCAATGCTGAATTGCTGAAAAACCTGAACACATTAGTCACTGTTCTCTGATAACTTTCCATTTCAGGAATTCCTTTAGTAGCCTGTGATGCAGCCAAAGCACAATGATGTGCTGCACAGTGTACCCCAACTAGAGACGGACATGTTTCACTTAACCGTTTAACTACTCCATTGTTTCTACCAGTCATCACACTTTCTCCATCTGTTCCAATACCAATGAAGTTCATTAAATTAAGACCCTTAGATTTCAGTTCATCCAAAATTTTATTTGTGAGCACTTCTGCATTTGCACTAGTTTCTTTAATTTCAACGTTGTTTAGTAAGCACACTTTATTTCCTTTTCACAGAAGTACTGAGCATACATAATCAAACGTTTTCTGTTTCCTTTATCTTTATTGGAACACATATATTAGTTGTCAAGCATGAAATTTTGACAGATATTTTTAAGAAAGTCCTTTTTCTCGGCTGTTAATGTTCTTGTTCATTTTATTAGCTGGACTTTTTTTTGAAGAAAAAAAAATATAGAGTTACTGTTACAGTCCAGGTGGCATTCATTATCTAGCACAAAAAATAATCGTCAATTGGACACCATATTAAGTCAGTCAGGTTATATTATAAGTTCAGTCATTGTACAACTATATACATGTGGCATCAAACAACAGGTTATGCACATAATTCACAACATAGCACTCCTCAAAGTGTTACTCAGTCAAGTCATTGTGTAATTGTAATCAACAGATATTTTCAAATAATATGTCACACACATTTACTCTAATGGTTATAGAATATAAATATGTATATTCTTTATTTGAGTCTCATCCATACATAACAACATAAAAACAATTCAATTGCATAATTTTACAAGATAAAAGTTGTTTGTGTACGGCCATTCTAATCAGAATCACAAGAGACTGTAAAAGTAATCTAATGGAAGGGAGGCAACTCTGCAAGAACTTATGACATAACTTACAGAGTTACCTCTCTTCTCATTCCACATTCATATGCCTGCTTATCTTGTTCTAAAAGAATTTCTGGAGTAATTGCTTCATAGTGTATACCCTAGTTATGTTATCTTATTTAAAACAATAAAAATTTGACCAAGTAGCAACAGATTTCTGACCTATAAAATATTTTTCTGGATAAAATTATTTCGCATAATTGAAATGATAAGACCTATATAAATTAGAATAAAACATTGTTCAAATTTAAGTAACTCTACATATAACATTGCTTACAAAATAAAAAATAAAATAAAGTTTAGGAATCAGATAGTGAGTTACTAATCATTAACCGTGAGTTTGTTTACTCCCTTTCAAGAGACATTGAGAGTTGTCAATTAAAAGTATTAAAATGTTACATCATTTTAATCCTTATAAATACACTGATTAGTAACATTTCTTACTAACATTTCTCAGTAACATAATGATAAAGTCTCAGTTTGTTGGGTAAAATCTTTAATAATTTAAAAGTAACATTATAAGAGACAGCTGTTCTGAGGAATACAACCAGTTAGTTCTACTTTTAAGAATAATGAAGCAGGATTTTGCTGCACATTTTACAATTTCCATATTTGGAAAAAATGAATGGCAGTTTATTGTCATCGGACAGCCTTAAAAATTGCTCATTTGCATTTTCTGCTCTGGCAAATAAATCTTTCCTAATATCCTCATAATTTAGACAATACAAAATAACATGTTTCTCATCTCCAATGCCAGTTTAACAGACTGGACAAATTCTTTGGTTTAAAGCTAATCTATCATATATGCCAGTTTCAAGTCTAATGGGGCTACCCCACATCAAAATTTTGCAAATGCTGCTCTATGCTTATTCGACAGGATAGCAGTTACATATGCTTCTGTTTCATAACTAAACTTAAAGGTTCTGTAAGTCCTCAACATATTTCCACCTTGCCCAGAACTACTATTTATTGTATGTAGTGACTTAATCCATTCATCCAAATACTCATTCAGATATGAACTGGTTAGCTTTTCCACCAAACATGTTTTATTTTAAACATTATTAAGAACTAAAAATTCACCACAGTTATATTTTTCAAAAATTTCTTTTACTCTAAAATACCAGTAAACAGGCAGTTCTTACAAGTTCTACCTGCCTACTTAAAACAGTACATATTTACTTCACAATTTATTCTCATACTGTTCATACTTGCAGATGGACACCAAGAACTCGTCACACATTTAAGTTATTTATTACAGATAGGTTGCCAGCCCATTTCACAAGCAACTGTAGCATTTGGAGTGTATCAGTCTGTCCCTATGAAAAACCTCATTGCTTGGTTCTGTACTGCTTCAATACACAAGTATGTTCTTGTACCCCAAAAAGCTGAACTTTAACTTACATGTATAACGGATCAAACAATAGAATACATTGAAAGGCATACCTTCAAGTTGCTTAAATTAACTAGTCCAAGAGCCCTTCTAGCTGCCTTAGCAACAAATTTTGCTGTAAAATTATAGTCAAGAAACTCGTTAAGGGCCAACCCAAGATCAACATAGTTATCAGTGACAGTAAAAATATCAATTCTACACTTGAATGGAAACAATATTCTTGGTGTTGATTTGCTTGGAAAGCCTGAGAAAAATAATGTTAACCACCGTATACACGTATTGCAAGTTGTTAAATTAGCATAATATAGATTTGGCAATTAAAATTAACAAAGACATGCAAGACATGCAAGGAAGGTAAATCATTTTTATTCAGTTGATTAAAGATTCAGTAAGTGTCTAGACATTGTCTGTTTTGTGCTTTTGCTGGTAAGTTACAAAAATACATGTTTATCTTTGTCTAGAACATTGCAAAGATTTTAATCTAAGTGAAATATATTAATGTTAAATTTTTTGTTATGTGTTTTTCAGTTTCCAGAGTTTGATGATCTCTACTGTAAATATTGCTTCACATATGGACAAGATTGGCTTATAACATCTGTAAGTATAATAAATAAACTCAAGGGAGGTAATTGGAAGGTTCACAGGTAGTCTAAAATTTTAGTCGTCTAGAGACATTGGTTGGAGTGTTTTTTTTTCAGAAAAAAATTACACTTTTAAAAACAATGTCAATTGCATAATGCTAAAGAAATATTAGACGTTTAATACGATATATCATACAGTATCTATTTTAACACTTTTGATACACAGCACTGCATGTAAAGTCATGTTATATGTTATCTTTTAACAGTCAAATATGAAATTACCAAAATTATGAGTATTGTACAGAATTACTTAAAAATTTGGGGAAATGCTCACTGTTATGAAAGAACTGCGTCTTTCCTTACTAAGGGAGACTAATTATGAAATAATAAATAATGACATCCATTATTGGTTAACTCCCCTGAAACATTTTGAGGTACAATGTAAGAAAGCATGAAATAAAATTCTCATTATATTTTATAAATTAATAAATTTATTTAAAAGGCTCTCTGATGTATGCCACTTTAAAAAAGTTTAATGCTGTACAGATATTATGTTAGTTTTGAACTAGTTTTTTTATACGGTATCAATTTTTTGACAAAAAGGTTGTGGTGATCAACCTGAATCTTTAAGCTCCTGTCCTTGCCTTCGTAAAGTTGAACACGAAGCTACATACTTGTAGTCTTAGTTTTTTGTTGCTACAGTATTTGTCCCAAGATTTCTCTTGATTTAGCCGGTTCTAAAATGTAGAATTGTTGTATTTTGGTATGAAATTAATTTTTTTTATATTTTCACACATTACCATGCTTTCAAAAATTCTGCCAATGATGGAATAGTTAATATTCAGTGCTTTTAATGTTTTAGTCTGCTGATGAATACCTCCAGATAGAAATAATGCATTAAACTAACACCTGCAATGCACATGAATGTTAATTTGTGCAATAGCTGCAGAGTTGTTAAAATACTTTAATTTTTTAGAATAAAACAGATGCACAAATCAGTGTAAATGCTTTTGAATTGAAATTTTTAGACACAAATGCCATTAGAATAGAATTTTGAGGAAATTAAATGGAAAAAAAAATGAGGGATATGCATTTGCACTAATAATCAATATATATAATTAATTTTTTTGTCAGTCTAATCTTTTCACATGCATCTAGGATGTTTGACTTCTAGAACTAATGTTAAAACAAAAGTAAATATTGAATATGATTATATACAACTGTTTTTGTCTAAATCCTATGCTTAAATGTTTGAATTAAGCTAAAGGAGATGAAGTGGCAGAAAGAAGAGATAATTTACTCTAAATGTTACAAAGAAATAAAATGCTGGCCTAGCCACTGTGCAGATTGGCCTTTCCGGACATATATTTGTATATTCAGTCTTGTCCTTTAAAAGCAATGTTGAGAAAGTATTGGACCTCTGTAAGTGAAAGTCAGATTAATTCCACTGTCCCATGTATATGTTTTTTGATTGTTATTGTATATGGAATCTGTTATGTTATACAGGGTTTAGAGGAAGGAATTACTCAGACAACCAAGAAAAGCCAGGATGAAAGACAACATTTTGTGTGGAATTTTCCTCTAGATGTTACATTTAAAAGTACAAATCCACATGGCTGTAAGTATGAAGATGTTTTCTGATATTATTTTTTTTCAAATGTAGAATTTAATGTTTTTGTGCAGTAAAACTTCTTTATTACTTAAGGGATTTACTTCAAACTTCAAATATGTTTCTTATCAATACCACATTATATGTACATGTAACAGGATTTATAACTCAAGCCCACTGAACCTAAAAAATTGCTTAAAAATTGTTTTATTTCATTGTAACTTCTTTATTTCTTGAAGTTTTGAAGTTTTTCTTGAAGTATTGACTTCAAACTTCAGATACTTGTTACTAATCTTTAGATAAAGTTCTTAGAATTATTTCCACTTAAATTTAGAATTTTCGTTTAACTGTAGAACCAACATTTGCAGAATTATCTCCTCTTTGTACTTAGAATATCCCTTTAAAAATTGTTATTTTTTACTGTAACTTCTTCATTTCTTCACTCTTTATATAATTACTTCAAACTTCAAATGTTTGTTCCTTATCATATGATAAGATTTATATACATTGTATCTAGCATTATTTTTTTTCAAATACATGTTCCTTCACAATATCTACAGGTTAGGTTTTGTTAAATATTCTTTGACACATATGCCAGTCTTACATGATGATTGCTATTGCTATCTTGATATTGCAAGGGAAAAACTTAACTGTGAGAGAAACTTTTGTTTTGACAATCTAAACAGGAGAGTTTCTGTCTGGTCTTTGTTGTGATTATCATAAAAATAAAAAATAAAAGCATTTATTAGTATTAATGTCAAACCATTGGCATATCCACTGATTTTACAGCTTTATCCTTGGTAGACTGTTGGTGGACATTCAGTCTTTACACAGCCCATATAATCACAGTATTATACCACCTCCTTATGTTCCCATTTATTCTTGGGTGTAGTCAAGAAATGTAGGGTAAATTCTGTGGTACATTAGTTATTGATGCATAAAACATAATAAGTTTTACTTGTATCATAGTTTGGAGACTCTACTATTGAAAACATGTCTGAGAGTTAAATTATATACCAATACATGCAAAGTGCATGAGCTGGAGGGCAGGTATTAGTTGTTTGCTTTGTCACTATCTGTCTAGAGCATGCTCATTGATTGGCTCATTTATTCTGGGGTTTGCTCATTGCAATGACAGGGAAAGAGACAGGGAGATAACTATAGAAAAGTCAATCTGATTTATATTCTATCTTCCTCATGCAAATCTGATAGCCTTGTGTTTTAATGCTCTTTCTATTACATAACCTAATACTTTATTTTAAACTTGTCCTTGTGAATCATAAAGTGGTATTAAACTATTTCAGTTTGATATTTTTTCTCTTTAAAACAAGCCCATACTCATGCAGTTTAATTCAGCTGTTTATTCTGAAACATCACATTTATATTTCAGGCAAACCTCCCATTCTTCAATTTGCAATCATTACTTTTCAGCCAAAACTACATAATTGCCTTTAATTCTTACAATTATTTAACATTTATGTCCCAATTTCAATTTTATAGCACATTGCTGAATGCATCTGTTATATTCTTAGGTACAACCTCTCATTTAAATGGCAAAATCCATATGAAATCTTTAGAAAAAAAATGTCATACTGTGCAATTTTATTTTTACTCCCCTTTAATTTAATGTTACAAAAAAAATTAGAACAATTTAAATTTTAAATCATGTTCCTAAAACACTACTGGATTTTTTTATAAAACATTTTTTTAGCTTTAATTTAATTTTACAGAAAATATAGAAGAAAGAGGATTCTGTTATTATTGAAAACACAATGTTAGAGTCTGTAAGTCTTTTTTGTTACAGCCCTGTATATATATAGCCGTATATAATTAAAGTGTATTTTGTAGGGCCACAAGTGGTTGTTCACTGTTATGGACCAGATGTATTTGGACATGATGTTGTAAGAGGATATGGAGTTTGTCATATACCGATCACACCAGGGAGGTAAGCCTTGTTGTAGCAGATTTTATATTGTCTGTCCTCCCATCACAATCTTAGTATTACTGGTTTAAACATATTTATCTTACACCTGTGCCAATTTTGCGAATGGTATTGCACGGCCGTGCATATATTTTGATGTGACGTCATTAGCTTTATACAAACATAGTGTAAAGACACGCTAATTGTTAGCGTTATACTATAGGCGCGTCAGTGAAAAATGACTTTTTTTCAATTTAAACAATCTTTATTTTGGGTGTGTTATAAATAGAATATTAAATTCATGTAAGTTCATTACTGAATTTATTGAACTTGTTGAATAAAATAGTATTATGCTCGACAGAGGCTCGCATGATATAATTTTATTCAACTCGTGCAATAAATTCAGAATTGAACTTTCACTCATTCAATATCCTATATTTATTTAAGCTTGATTGTGAAATAAGTTCTTGCAAATTAAATTAATCTTTCTTGAACCAACCAGTACTGGTGTTATATGAAGAAACATGGTCATGACCTGAATAGGGCTCGAACCCATGATCCCTGGGTTAAAAGGCAGACACCTTAACAACTTGGCCACCGCTCCTTTTGTTGGTAATACTAATATTACCTTCTCATCTAATGTTTTGCATATGTTGATTGGATGATTGTCTGTTTGAAAATCAATTTGTATTTGTTTATTAACTATTATATCATTCAAACTTCAGACATTGCACTCATTGACTCAAGTTCATTATTACTATTTCTTTGGTTAGGTCAAAGGTCACTTATACATGTACATTGGGTTTTGTACCATTTTGCCTTCACTTTTTCTTTTTGAGGAAGGCGGGGGGGGGGGGAAGGGGTGATAGGGCTAGGGGCAGGGTGAGATTTTGTTCTTCTGTCATCTTGTTTATCTCAAGTAGATATTAACTATAGATATAAAGAGGCAGTCATTTTAAGAATGTTTACATATTACATAAATTATGACTTATCTGTGGCTATTTAATATCAAATGTTTTTATTTCGATAGGATTATTTAAACATAGAAACATTATATATATAGATTTTGAAATTTTTTATTAAAAATTGATTCATAACAATGGTCAGTTATGTTTAATGCATTGAGTACTGGTACATAAATGATTGCTGTTAAATATTAACTTGTTTGAAAGTGGATAAGGTTGCCAACTTCAAACCTCTTGCCCCTCTTTGCTGTGGGTTCAAATCCAACATGGTCTTTGGATTCTTTCATGTGTAGAAGCTATCAACCTAGTTGACAGATTGTTTGTGGTTCTACTCAGGTGTTTGTTTGTGCTTGAAATAATGCACAGAAGGGCACCAGAGGTTTTCTTCCAGCAGTAAATATGGAAAGTCACCATATGACCTATACTGTGTAAAACCCTACTAACGATGAATTCCATTTAAGAAATTTATGCCCCTGTTTCATAAGCATAATTATAGAAATTGAACAGTCTCTCTGTTTGGCAGATTAGATTTTTCTTTAGTTTAACTTGAATTATTGGCTTCAAACATAATTGTATCAAGTAGCATAACTGTTGCTTTCAATTTTCTTCAGTTTTCTGCTTTCACATATTATTTGAACATTGCCAACATATTTTCATGCTATCTTTTTCATGTTTTTTTTTTCTCTTAAAAAACATGCTGTGTATATAAATACCACTTACAGCCAGTACTTGTATAACCTTTTGGTGATTTTAATGAAACATTTACATTGATCATTTCAAGGCACTTGCTCTCTAGAGAAAGTCGGTTTTACTTTTGTACTTCTAAATAAGAATGAGAGACTTGTTAAAAGCTTTTTTATGTGTTAAACTTTAAATGGTTACAGTTAAGCTTAATGTTAAAGTTCATATTCTAATTACCGTAGTAATTCAATTTAACGCCTGGGCTTTTATTAGAATTATTTCACAGTATATGACTCGTGTTTCCTCATGATGTTAAAACAAGAATAGTTCTTACCGATTTATCTGACACAAGCATAGGATTTGGGATTTTGATAGTAAAAGACAATAGTCTGCTGTTTAAAATTATTTAATCAGATCTAATTTCCCATGTTGGAGCCCAACACATTGAACCTGGCATCTCTTTTTGTAAACCTGAATTTTTTATTTGTATACCTTTATATCTAATACACATTAACAAAACACATGGAATCATTAAAATATGTTATTAGTAAATTAGTCATTGAATTTAAGATTTTGAATTTACTGGCCCGAATTCAAGTTTTGAATTTATTCTACTATATATTTAACTAAGTTTTCTTAAAATTTACACTGGCCCAAACTAATTTTCACTGGCCATAGGCCCCCGGGCCATTCATTAATTCAATGACTTGTTATTAAAGGGGATACCTGATGGATTTGGAACCAGAAAATGAATATAGAAAAAGCACAATTATTGTATAATAATGGTTGTGCTGTTGGACATATACTGGAGGAATTTATAATTGTCAGTCTCTTTAAAAAATATTTAAAGATGGACTTATTGGTGAAATCAGTGCCTAAATACATGGAGCAGCCTGGTTGTCATCAAAACAAAACTTTTGTAAAAGGTGGTGGCATTTAATAACTGTGCACATGGAAAGAAGGACAAGAAAAGGGATGTTTATTCCAATGTGAAAAAGGAAATAAAGAATGTGAGCTCAAATATGTTCAATTTTGTCCAATAAATGGGCGTAAAAAAGGTGCAGTTGATTTTTCAACTTTGTGCTGAAAAATGGCCGTTTTTTGTCCAAATTATGGCAAGGGTATGGGCGTTAATTAGAAATATTATGGTATGCTGTTCCTTAAATTAATCTCTTAAGACAGGAAAAGTATTGGTTTCTGTTGTTGTGAAGTCTGTGACTAGGGTAAATTACTACTCACTACACTGCAGTCATTAATGTGTTGTTTATTTTGTTAATATAGAGCAATGTCAGTAGGCTTTCTGTACAATCTGAACAGATTATGTAACTGTTTGGGCTGGTATTAAGCATTTCAAAATCATTGTAATGCAATATTAACACTTCCAGGTTCATGTGAAGAATCCCATACTTTAAATATTTAAGAGAGAAAAGTTGAATGTTTTTTAGAGTGTATCATCTTAGGATGGAAAGACAAATGATATATTCTTACCTTTTTATATGCCCGAAAGGGCATATTATGTTATACCCCCTGGTGTCCGTCTGTCTGTCCGTCCGCACTCACAGGACAGTAATTATGTGGCTAGAGGGACAATAGGTAACTGTTCTTTCTCTTTGATGTCATTCATTCCGTAATGCTTTTATGTGGCTATTTTCTTTTGTGTGGCTAAAAAGAACAATAGAGAGAACAATAGAGTAGCCACATAATTACTGTCCTGTGAGAACGTCTGTCCGTCCCTCCGTACGTACGTCCGCACTCACAGGAGAGTAATTAGGTGACTAGAGGGACAATAGGTAACTGTTTTTTCTCTTTGATGTCATTCATTCCGTAATGCTTTTATGTGGCTATTTTCTTTTGTGTGGCTAAAAAGAACAATAGAGAGAACAATAGAGTAGCCACATAACTACTCTCCTGTTAGAACTTCCGTCCGTCCGTCCGTTAGCAATTTGGTTTCCGGAGCATAACTTAAGTTCCATTCAAACTTCATAGGATGATTGTCCATATTGGGTAGAAAACCCCTATTGATTTTGGGGTCAAAAGGTCAAAGGTTAAGGTCACTATTACCTTAAAACTGAAAACAGTTTCCGGAGCATAACTTAAGTTCCATTTGACCCACAATGTTCAAACTTCATAGGATGATTGTCCATATTGGGTAAAAGACCCCTATTGAGTTTAGGATCACAAGGTCAAAGGTCAAGGTCACTGTTACCTTGATACTGAAAACAGTTTCCGGAGCATAACTTAAGTTCCATTCGGCCATCAATGTTCAAATTTCATAGGATGATTGTCCATATTGGGTAGAAGACCCCTATTGATTTTGGGGTCACAAGGTCAAAGGTCAAGGTCACTATTACTTTAAAAATGAAATTAGTTTCCAGAACATAACTTAAGTTCCATTTGACCTACAATATTCAAACTTCATAGGATGATTGTCCATATTGGGTAGAAGACCCCTATTGATTTTGAAGTCAAAAGGTCAAAGGTCAAGGTCACTATTACCTTAAAACTGAAAACAGTTTCCGGAGCATAACTTAAGTTCCATTTGACCCACAATGTTCAAACTTCATAGGATGATTGTCCATATTGGGTAGAAGACCCCTATTGATTTTGGGGTCACAAAGTCAAAGGTCAAGGTCACTGATACCTTGATACTGAAAACAGTTTCCGGAGCATAACTTAAGTTCCATTCGGCCCACAATGTTCAAACTTCATAGGATGATTGTCCATATTGGGTAGAAGACCCCTATTGATTTTGGGGTCACAAGGTCAAAGGTCACTATTACCTTAAAATTGAAAACAGTTTCCGGAGCATAACTTAAGTTCCATTTGACCCACAATATTCAAACTTCATAGGATGATTGTCCATATTGGGTAGGAGACCCCTATTGATTTTGGGGTCACAAGGTCAAAGGTCAAGGTCACTATTACCTTAATACTGAAAACAGTTTCCGAAGCACAACTTAAGTTCCATTTGGCCCACAATATTCAAACTTCATAGGATGATTGTCCACATTGGGCAAAAGACCCCTATTGATTTTGGGGTCACTAGGTTAAAGGTCAAGGTCACAATTACCTTAAAACCAAAAACAGTTTCCGGAGCATAACGTAAGTTCCATTTGGTCCACTATATTCAGACTTCATAGGATGATTGTCCATATTAAGTCGAAGACCCCTATTGAATTTTGGGTCACAAGGTCAAAGGTCAAGGTCACTATTACCTTAAAATTGAAAACAGTTTCCGGAGCATAACTAAAGTTCTATTTGGCCCACAATATTCAAACTTCTTAGGATAATTGTCCATATAAGGTAGAAGACCCCTATTGATTTTGGGGTCACAAGGTCAAAGGTTAAGGTCATTATTAATAACTTAAGTATTAATCA